GTGTAAGAAAATAAGAGAGGGTACTTTCAACGTGGATTTTAGAAAACGAAAAAATCCCGCCTTAATACCTTATCCGAGCTTTCTTCTCAATGGAACCTAATCTTCCTACCTTTCTTTTGCATTTGATTTTTCTTTTTTTAATATTTTGCCTCTTCCTAACCACTCCCAAACCTTTGACCCTCTCTCTCTCTCGCTTTCTCTTTTACATTATTAATGCTGATACTTCTCTTTGGAAAAGGAAAGTCCAAATTTACGAGACACCGTACGAAAGGAGCCATATATTTTCGTTAGTACGTGCTCTTTGACGGAAATAGAAGAGATCGTTATACTACCGGTAATGTCGTTTGCGCTATTTTTCGCAAAAACGTTCGTCGTTAAATCGTCGAATAGACGGAAACGAAAGGAAACTACGGGAACGAATTTTTCTCTGTTTCTTTTTTATTGTTGTTGTTTTCTCGCCCGCGCGTTAATCGTCGAATTTGTATGGCGGTTTTTTTATTGCAAACGAAACACCGTTTCGATATTTACACCAAAACCAAGAGCTATTAACTCGAATGTCAGAAGAAAATGATGCTTCGGTAATAATGAAACATATTCGATCGTTGCCGCACATAGATAGATAGGAACGACAGCGAGTGGCGTCTGTGTATGTTTAACGAGAACGTTGATCGAGTTTTCGTAGATAATGTACATTCCAATTCATTTTCCATTGTAATATCTGAGCCTGGCAAGCTAATTAACTTCATTTAACGATTAACATGTAATTGGTATCGAATGAAAAAGTAATAAACTTTCCGCATGAAGTTTTATCGACGATACCTATAGGATAACGTAAAATGAAAAAGAATCTTCAATGTTATCGGCGATATTTGATAATATATAAAAAATGTATAACGTTGTGACTAGCGCGCGGATGCACATATATAATATAATAATAGAAGGAATCGTGATTTCCCAATAGAATACGTAAGGTGTGTCCTGAATGCGATCGAATTCGCGATCCAACCATAGTTGGCTTTTGGAATTTGCCGTGGTATTCGCCGGACGTTCTACTCGTCCTATAGACCACATAGGGATGCTGGGGGCGGGAGGGAAGAGGAGGCGAAGGGGTAGAAAACGATCGCGAGTTGGCTTTGTTCTTGTCCTCTTTCGATAGTAGTAGTTACCTTTTTGCATAGTCAGGAAGAATTCCAAGAGTAGTCGAAAGCATTCTTCTTGTATCGGGCACGCACGCATTTCGCGATGAGGATTGCCAAAGGGCTTCAGAGATAAAAGGGATCGAAAAAGTCAACCGTCGGTTTGAAGGTGGTAGTCGAGTGACCGTCTAGTGCCCGTCGAATGACCATCGAGTAAACTTCGTGTCCCTACTTTTGGAAACGAGCGGCCTATCGATCACAACCTACTCGTATTTTATTCGTCCTTCTTTTTCTTTAAAAAAAAAAAAATAAAAAGAAAAAAAAGGAGGAGGAGGAGGAAAGTATCTCCTCTGGAGCACATTCGACGTGGGCACGTTTTTATGGGCCACGTTCGTTAGGGGGTTAGTTGCGTCAGCGTAAGTTAACGTCGACTCCGTCACTCTATTTTATCCAGCCAACGTGATATCTTTTCGAGAGATAACGCGCACGAGCGAATACTCCTTCCTACGATTAATTACTCTCTTTCAAAATAAACGCTAACATCTGATCGTAATTAAATTGACTCGGCTAAAAGAGAGAGGGCATCAATTATAATGAAAGCGTGAACCTTTTGATCCTTTTTCTATCTATCTCTCTCTCTCTCTCTCTCTCTCTCTGATCCTCGCGTATCCTCGTACAAAGAGGTGGGAAATTTGTTGGCTTATCTCGGCGTCATAAATTACGAATCGACCGCGCCATTTTTCAATGCCCCTTTTTATGGAAATGAAAGATCTCGAGAAAAATCAAACTATTTATTATCGGCAAACGTTTTGGACGACAAGCTAAGAATTATTTTCTATGCGCGAAAGCCTTTTTCGTTAAAAGGGGTTGAACGTAATCGAGGGGGAGGAACTTGGAAGATAACATTTGCGAGTAAAAATGTTGCGAGATCCTTCGACAGATGGCAGGAGCTTGCAACTTGTAGAAAAGCTCGGCTTGCTTTCTCTCTGTTCTACCCTCGATCGCTTCATTTAATCGGATTTATTGTAAAAGAAAAGCTCGACGCGTTGTCGTCCCGTTATCGCCCTGGAGCTAAATTAACCGAAATCGTTAACAAAAGCCGGCAACTAAATATTGTGGGTAGAAACTGCACATCCTCCTTGATACAACATCCCCCTAGTGGGATGTCACTGCACGATTATTCTAGCGCCCTACCTTATTTAACTCTCGTTCCTTACCCATCGATTATTTTCCTATTTTCTACCATCTCTATTATTTTCTCTGTTTCCAATCCAAAAAGAATAGTCACGTGTTGCTGGAATACGTTCGTTCACACTATATTACTCTCTTTTTCCTAATTTAAAATGTACTACTCTTCCACTCATTTCCCTTCATTTGAGATTCAATGAACGAGTATATAGATGTATATTGAATTTACATGCGCGCATCGCAAATTCATTTATAAATGAAAATGATTATGGCTTAATTTGAGAAGAATCGTCAAATTAACTTCCCGACTAGTTTTAACACGCTTGCTCGTTGTTATTTAATATTTATTCTCGTCAACGATCGTCATTGTTACGAAGTGGGAAAAAATAAGAAGAAAAAAAATAAAAATGATTTAGGAACGTTTCGATTTTGAACGAATTAAATAGCAAAAGTGATTCGTATATCATTATATAGGTTAATGATAAAGTATAAGTAAAAGATAGGAAATAAAAAAGGATCGGATAGGAGAATCAATCGATTTTCGTTATGTTACAAGCAAAGTGTAACGTTTCGCGATATCGAGATACGATCGTCGTTTTCTATTTCACGATTGCTGATAATGAAAGGTATCGTAACGAGGGATGAGATTGCCTTCGAGTGACGTACAAACTCTACACTTTCGTACGCAAATACATGGATACGTGTAAATACCTACATAGGTAGAATATGAAAGAAAAAAAAGTGGTAAGGGGGAGGGGGGGAAACGGAAATCGAGAAGCGTATCGATCACGGATGTAAACCACAGGATTTACTTTTGAGAACATGTCAGCCGCCGCAGAATTCGCGTTTAACCGCGATGTTCAATTTGCCCTGCGGTCGATACCTTTCTCTTCACCCTGCGCGCCCACCCATTGCTTGCCAACGTCATTGAATTTTCCTCGTCGTCTTCTTTCCTGCCACGTTGCAAGGAGGAGGGAACGCGCGAAACAACAAAACCGAAAAGACAAAAAATAGAAACAGGGAGAACAATCGCAACGTTAACATCCTCCTTCTATTCGGAAAAACTTCGATGCTGGTGGTGGCATCCTGTCGCCACTATCTTAAGAAAAATAAGATAGAAGATAAACCCAAACTATTTTCCTTAAAATTACGCAAGGTATTCTAATTAATCCAGGCAGTGTTGTAAGAAAAAAGAAACTCTTTCAGCTTACAACCGAGACTTCCTTTTAATATAATATCACGGATATACGCGCGACGATACATATATCCCAACCAATTACAAAGTCTCTTAAACTACGACGCATAATGTAAATCAAACCGTGCAAACTTTTCGTCGAAGAAGATACGATGCTATGGCAACTCTCGATTCTTTCAACCCCGAGTAGACTCTCGGCTCGGATGACTCATTCGAACGACTAATATACATAGAAATTATAGACATTTGCAGACGACGAACGGAAAGAAAAGAGACCTTTGGTAAATGAAAATTTCTACGAGATTATTTTACAGAGAGCGAAACGACCAGATAAAGGATCCTTTTTTATTATTACGAAATACTTGGAATCATTAACTTTAGCCTTTGGTAGAAATTACAAAAGAGATAAAGGGAGAAAGAGATCGTAAAACGTCGATCAGAAAAACGAGTTTTACGTGAAACCAGGGGTATGAAGGATCGATGAATAATCTATAGACTTTTCTCTACTCTAGCTTGGATGCGAATAGATTTATAATTCAATCATTTCTCTTAGATTTAACAAATGGTTAAAATAACATAAAATATCGCGTTAACTGGCACATCTCGAAAAGAAAACGAAAAGAAAAGACAGCATTTTTCAATGTTTTTAACCTAGGAGAATGTTCGATAAGATAAAAAAAATAAAGAAAGATGTGAATAGGAACCTCGAGGTTGTTTCGAATTTTTCCCGAAAACGAAGAAAATAAATGGGAAGCTTCAATGCAAGGCTGCCAAATTGATGGTACGAAGGGTTACGGTTAAACGCGAATCTTCCGTCAAGGAGTTTCTCTCCGAACATCATTCAAACGAGATCTTTATCTCCCTTTTCATACGTCGCTTTAAACTTTACAACTCGTGAAACGCACTCTCCTTCGCACTCGCCGGCGCATATTTATGTAAGTCGTAAGTACGTGAATTATACGCGTATTTTACGCGTATTGCACCTATAACCGAGATTGAATGGAGCCGTTTCTCGAAGCATGAAAAAGAATAGATAGAAAAGAACAGGAGGGAAGCTTTTTCACGAGCACGATTATAAAATATTTTTGAATAAATGAATTTAAAAAAGAACTAACGGAGATAGTTAACAAGCCACGAGCTTACCAATCATCATTTCATTCGACGAACCACTAAATCGACGCTCTCTTTATCATTCGCAAGCCAGATAATTCGAGAGAGGAAGGGACTGATTAATATTTGAAGATGAGAAAGTGTAAATATTGTCTCGCGAAAGCTCCCTGAGCAGAGCTATTTTATTATATCCTAGCGGTGAAAATAAAAGGATAAGGTCGATATCCCGTAGCAATGGGAACCCCTTGGAGAGAGCTTCGATACGTCCGTTGAGAAAAACTAAAGGAAAAAATAGAAAAACATCGAGATAGAAAAGATACGGGGCGGGGTTACGTAATAAAAATAAGGAACGATAATGTCGGACTACTCACTGGTCGGGCTAGGCGTTAATTCCATCATGGATATTTTCACGCGAATACCATGCTGTTGGAAGAGTCCTAGTTTTGGTCCTCTCGTACTCTTCTGAAGCGTATTTATCGCCGATGTAACAGCCTTGGTGTAATCCCTCACGCCAAACGTTTTGTACGGCACCATCATGCCAACCTGTGCCAAGGAAAATTATTCCATCAGGAAAAACCATTCTTTAATTAATTATTCTCTATTCTTTTATTCGCACACTGTGATTCATCTTGCGCGATACATAATTCTATAAAACGAACTTTTAATCCACGTCGTAAATAAACAAAACGTTGTCGAGAAGAAACGGCAAGAGAGAATTTCAAATAATAATAATATTTCATAATATCCTCTGAGGAAGACGAGAAAGTGCTCGCTGAGTTTAAGAGAATTTCAACGAGTGGATACCTGAATGATACAATAATACGTACTAGGAAATTCAAGTTTAATGAATGAATATAAAAGCAATTTAAGCGTTGGACCAAATGAATGATCGCCGGTTTTGCAAAAAAAATAATATGAAGGGGAGAAAAAAGGAGTTTGCATATGTAATACTTTGGCGCAAATCTAATTAACAGAAAAAAAGAGTTATATGCATATGTGTCTGTTCTTTCCGTTACACGCGTACGCGCTTATATAAGCGAAAGAATTCGCTTTTTACGTTGCACTCGGGGAGGGAAAAAAGCGAACAAATATTTGCCACTTTTAATAAACCGAAGCTCAATCTCCAACGTATAAGAACACTCGACGGACGTTTATTTGACGCGATCATTACGACTGATAATCGATTAAATAATTCAGCAAATAACGTCTCCCTTTCTCTTTGGCAAGTTTCGCGATCGAATAAATTTAAGAGGCCCCGACGTATATCGCTAAAAATACTCTTTCATAGGTTCCGCGTAGAAATGAAATAAAGGCAGCGAGATATCAATACGAAACTTGGAGAAACCTTAAAGAGCTTTTAGCTGATAAGACAATCAAGAGAATAGGCAATTAATGTGAGAAAATTCTTCTCTCTCTCTCTCTCTCTCTCTCTTCATCTTTATCCTCTTTTCTTGTCGCTTCATCCGAGAAATTTTCTCTTCTAGTGTAGCAAGCGGAGAATCATTAAGCCTTTTACGGCAGCCTTCTACTCGTATACGATGAAAGTCGATTAAAAAGCCCAAAAGTAAGAACATTTTCGCGACTTTATTATCGCGCAACGAACCACCACCGATGAACACCTGTTGCATAAATCGATTGTTACCGATGAATAGACCACATACACAATCGCGCACCGAGAAATGAAGAAAAGGGAGAGAGAGACTAATGCGGGACCAAAGTAGTTTCAACTCTTGACATATCGGGAAGGGAGATTAGAAATGAAATATCTTTCCCTCCCTCTCTCTCCCTCTTTCTCCCTCTTTCTCTCTATCTATCTATTCCTTTTGTCTTTCCTAACAAAGTAACGGGGAGATCATTAGCGGAGACAGATAGATACTAGGAAAGTCTCACCTTCAAGTAAGTGTTGTTATTAGCATTTTCCAGGGATGATTGGGGAGGGTAAGTGAATCTTGGGGGTTGCAAAGTCGTCGTAATCATCGTCGTAGTCGCGATAGTCGTGGTCGTCGTGGTCGTCGTAGTCGTGAAGATTCTCTTTCTCGTTGAGTTTGGAAATCCACCCTCTCCTATCCTTACCCCGGAACTACCCCTCATAAGGGGACCTCTCGGGGTGGTCGTTCCTCTCTCTCCCATGCCTATTTTAACCCCACTTTCACCGCGAGTGACGGCACCCTCCGGAAGATCAGCGAACACCGGCATCATCAGCAACGAGGCGAACCACCAGCAAGCAGACTTCATCTTACCGCACGATCCCAGTCGACGAACCCAATTTTATCTCTCTCTCTGTTTCCTCCTCCCGAGCTTGTTCACCTCGATTCTTCCTCTCTCTCTTTCTCCCTAAATCGTACCGACCTCTCGGCCGCTGCCACTCTTCCATTCAAGACGCTTCCGATCTTTTCAGCATTCTTTCCGTCTCTCCTGGTAAGCCTTTCGATCATCTCCGTCTTTCCAATCTCGTTTCACCGTTTCGCCGAATCCTGAAAAAGAAAAAGCGTCCGATCGATGAACATTCGTTTTATTCATTATTCAAACTTTGAATCTTGTGGACCATTTTGCTTGAACAATCGACGATAAGAAACGATCATCTTGTTCTTGCATGTAGGTCAATCCTTTGAGCAAAACTGGGACGGACAAGAAGAGACGAATTTGTCTCTATCGGAAGTCTCCTCCGGTTAAGAAAGAGCAATGGCAGATGACAAATAAGATGCAGGAGGTAAAGGTAGGAGAAAGTTGATTAAAGGATTTTTCGGCGTAGCGATCGCCTTCCTTGACCCCCGAGGAAACGGGGAACGTTCACGATATCGAACGTGTCGCATATGGATAGCTTTGGTAAACCGAGCGTTCTCTATCCTAAATACTTGCGGTCTGCATGATCTCCGAAAGCCTTGTGTACACTCTCCTATTAAGGTAGCCAACCGCAACGGCACAAAGGACACTAAGGTCCCGAAGATCCCCGTTTCGGGGCTGGACCTATGTTTTTGTCATGATTTCGACTATCCGATCATCCCAAATCCCCCAAACGCTCGACTAAACCTTCCTCCTACACCTTTACTATATTACGCTGACTTCAAATAAATATTCGATCGAATAAAAGTAACGATTCGTCGAAATTAATTAATCGAGGAAAACAATAATGATCGGACGGATAAAAAGAGGCATTCGTTTGCGTAAGCTTCCTTAATGCTTAAATGACGAAGATGCGATTGAAACCGTGAATTATCTTGGCTGCCTATTCTTCCATCGAAACAATATCGTCCCATTATGAGAAAGTCTTTAAAATAAGGGAAAAAAAGATGAAAAGTAGAAAGGTCTCTTTCACGCACGAACGGGAAATATTTCTTCTTTCGGGTAAAGAAAGTTAGACTCGAGAAGCCATCGAAAAATCCAAGTACCCGTAAAGAGATCTCCATCCTCCTCTCGTAAATTATTCAATTTACAATTCGTTAAGAAGAAACCCGGTTCGAGTAATTACTTTCCCTCATTCTAATCGAATACGCAGACGTAGTACAAAGGAGGTTTGATCTTTGTGACAAAGTCGAATAAATATTATAAATATTTTAAATAGGAAAACATATGCGCGATAATTTTGTAAAATAAGATTAATGAGATGAATTAACGATAAGACATAAATTAGGCGTTATCCAATTAAAAGTATATAGAGATCCGATTTCCGTTTGTAATTCGTTTACGTTACACCGATATTTATTAACGTCATTAATACGAGCCAAGTTGATTAATAGCCAACATCCGCGTCGCATCTACCTCGTCGTCAAATTAACGTTAGGTGACGTTTTATCGTAGCGATAATTAAGACGGTCTCTCGTCGTTGTCGTCGTCGTCGTCGTCGTCGTCGTCGTCGTCGTCTACTAATACTTAACCATCGTCGTACGATGTTGACATTTAGAAAGTTACATATCTGTAGAAGAAATGATCCGATCCGGAAGAGATTAAAGCGAATCGGTGGATCGAGATTAGCTGTTCAACGGATCATAGGATCGTAGGTATTGTAACTAATTCTTCGTAAAGTTCGTTGGAGTATCGAGGAGAGATAAACTATCTCTAATCCTATATACCTAACTAACTAGATCCTACGCCAGTAGTAACGAACTCTATCAGTCTCGCGAAAGTGTAGACCAAAACGATCCTTGCCCTTGTAATCGGCCTGTCTATCGACTCGTAAGCTTGCCCGTTGCCTAGCACTACTACAGTTATCCGCGGTACAAGAAAATCCGATTTACCTCGCTATTTCGATATTCGGCTTGGCGTAGTTTCACGAGCGCAAGTTAACTACCAGTTATACAATTTCCTTCCAACTCTACGCGCGTTTTCCTATCGTTTCTTCATTTGTCTGCTGCCCCTTTGAATTTCGCTGCTGACCGAACTAGGAAAAAAAAGATAGGAAGAAAGACCGAGGGGAGAAGAATGAAAGGTGATCTAATGTACTTCGGTTCGTCGAACCGAAACGACCAAGATCCCCCTACGATCCTATTTGCTTTTCTAATTGCACGGAACGATCCAACGATTTATAGAATAACATTAAGCGTGGATATATTTTTTCCGAACAGTCCAATACTCCAGAACTTTTCTCTCTTTCTATTATTTTTCTTTTGTATTTTTCTATTTTTTTTTTCATTTTTTAAGCGGCTTATCAAACATTTTTTTCTCGCAGTAAAAATCGTTATTCTGTCAACATAGAAAAATAATAGAATCCCCCGTCCCCCGGTTTATAACAAAATGTGGCTATCTGGTTATTTATTTCATAAAGAATGAAAAATATAGAGACGAGATAATAGACGGGCGCGCATGGTTGTGACAATATGAAACTATTTCAACAACGAGAGGGAGCTTCTTCCATGGTTGCGAACTGCGGCAACTTTTGCGGCTCCGAATGCAGCTCCGAATGCAGCTCCGAATGCAGCCAGAAACGCGACTATGCGTGCGGTTCCTACGAATCAATCGATCCTTCTTGTTTTCTTCTTCTTCCTCCTCCTCCTCCTCCTCCTAGTCGCATCTTTCTTCATTTCATATTTTTCAAAGTAAACGAGCTTTTATTTTTTTTTTCTCTGCGAATCAAAATATAGAATATGCAATTTAAACACATTAAAAAACTTCGACGCATAGTTAATGGCATATTCGTTCGCGTTATAATCGAAAAAGTAAATATTTAATATAATCCAATTCTTCATTTTCTAATAGACACATATGGAAAACAAAAAGGAAAAGAAGCAAAGAAAGAGACATTTTCAGGAAAAGACTGTAACAATAAGATACAGGCTTTTTTGTCAGGCTTAACGCGAAAGAACGAGCACCTTAGCTTACAAGTCTGGAACTTCAAGGAACTTAACTTCGACGAGACTATAAATTCAATAAGGGACAAAGTGAGAGAAAGAGACATTGTAATTTCAGTATATACGCTCCTGAGTATCCCTCTTGTCTTTTCTCAAGACTCCGCCCCGTATCACCCTTTCTCGTTTCTCTTAAAGGCCACCGCCCTTTTATAACGCAAGACGAATATCTTAGGGCTTGAAATAAAGAAGATAAATCGAGTAATCCTTGCCACCGACAAAAGTAGCAAACAATGTTTTCTTAAAAAAAAAAGTGCAAGATGTATTCTCCAATCGCTTCTTATCATCTCCAGTTGCGTTTTCCTTCAGAAACTTTTCTCGAAACGCATTCGTGGATCCTATTTCGTTCTATCTTCGAAAGAAATAAAGTGCAACGGAAATTGGTGGGAAAAAGAAACGCGACCATACCAATCTTCTCTATTTACACACACACACACACACAATTCGTAGAAATTATAAATAATATCTCTTTATAAAAAAAAAAAAAGAAAGATAGGTAAAAATGCGGGGAATTGGCTAGAAATCTGAACGATCTGAGACGCTCGATTTACAATGATTTAAATCGAATGCGAATCGAATTCGAAAGAACGATATTCTCGATAAAAACGAGTACGTTCTTTATCATCCCTTCGACGACGACTACGACGACGACGGTGGTATAAATCCCATCCTATTTGAAGAATTTTATCTTCAGAAGGAAATATATTTATTTCGCAATAATAACGAAGGAGGAAAGAGAAAATCTTGCGATTAAAAAGGAACGAGGATGAAAATAAGATGAATAAGACGAAAGGTTTAACCGAGAACGGATTATAGCTCTTTTGTCGCCTTCGACTAGGATCCCATTGTTATGGTGGGTCATGCTACTGGAGAAATAAATCCGAGGATCTCCTGGTCATCTTTGCTTTTTACGGAACACTATATTCTTTCATACACAAACCACGTACTAACTTTATCGAATGTTTATATACGAAGGAATACGCATGCGCGTTCAACGTTAAGCTCAACACGCAGGACGTAATAATATATTACGAATGCAAATAGGTAGAAATGTACATTAGAGAGTAAAAAAAATGATAGTTACCGATTGCAGGAAGAACCCTCCTGCAATTTATTGCTATAACATATAGACAATATAGAAGCATTAATCAGTAGAGTTTCGCATGGTTCATTAAATCTATCTTTATATTCCTATCGATTTTATTTCCTCCCCATCTCATTATCGTTTATTATATTCTTGCAGCAACGATGAGTTGTATTGGTATTATAACGATTTGCGCGTATATTTGTAATCGTTGGAAAAAGGATCCCAGCCGAATGTTGGAGAGAACAAACGGACGGACGATGAACGGATGAACATGAATATGGCAGATGTTATATATTCAGGATAGAAAGAAGAAATATTCGTCGTATTATTTATTTCAGTCGGTTCACATATTTGATCGGTGTATATTTCTTTTCGGAGAGCATGCTTTACGGGAGGAAGGAGGAGAGAGGGTTGAGGGGTGGTTTGGGTCGACGTTTCATTTGGGTCATACGGTTGATCCAGCTTGGTCTACGTGATCCGGCTACGAACTGTTTCCGCGACAGCTTTAAAACGTCCCACAGTTAGAATTTTTGTAACCGTGTAATCTTGCCGATATTACCAGAGGCACGGCAACACTCGGAAGAAGCCAGATGGAGGGAGGAAAGAAAATTCTCAAGCGGTGAATAACTCTCCTCGCCCGTTGGTAAATAAAACGCCTCGAGGAGTAAAAGCTTCGTTTAAGTTTTTCTCACGAGAATGAAAAAGTAAAGAAACACGACGAAACGCCCGAAATCTACGAGAGAAAACTTATAAAAGATTCATACCCGTACACCGATATTTCTCAAATATAAACGAAACTAACAAAAAATATCGGTATATCAAATTTGTAATGGACAGATTTTCGAATAATCGCATTTGCATCTTTGCCGCAAAACGATCCCTATTTCATTGCCGAGAAGGTTCTAACGATCGTCGAAAAAGCATTTAGTCGTTTACCGGGAAATTCCAAACGAGCTCTCCACTATTTTCCTGCTTTTTTTCTTCCACCCTTTTTCACGGATAAGTTTGGAACGATCGAAAATTTGCAAATAATCGATTCGAATCT